TATTCGTCATATTTTGACTACATCTTGTTCAACCTTTGCTAGTCCTAACCCAGTCTTTTTACTTCCCTCTGGCTCCTCAAGTAAGTAGTATGTTGGATGTCTAGAAGTTATGCACATTACTTGCAGTGCCTTTTAGGCAGATACAAGCATGGTCTTGCTTGTGGGGTAGTAAATTCCCCAACTTAGTTACTATAGGATAGGCTGGTCCTTAAAATGTCCCATGTAGGATATGGGACATATGGGGCCGGTCAGTTTCTATTGCTTTACCACCAATGCTTCTTGTAGTAATATCCAGTTAATAATTGATCTTTGCCTTAGTCTGAGTCTTGCAGCAAGGCTGGTTGAAATTCAGTGAGGTGAAACTGTTTTGTTTATGTTACTTGTAAAATAGCTGTCATTCAGCTTATCGCTTAAGCTTGGCACTGCACTACTATTAAGACTGAGCCGTGGACTGATAATGTCTGCTTGATTGAATCTTTATATTATTTATCTTACTGAGATTGATTTGAATATAGATTCTTCTACATAAACCTCTAATTGCATATTTTGGTACACAAATCAACTTATGTAAATGTCTGATGTAACAATTGGAAATTGACGTTTTTACAGTGCTCTCAGCAATACATCCTCGCTTAAGACACAACAAAGGTCTGATGCAAAAGGTGCCTTCCCTCTAAGTGTATTTGGTAATGTTACACTATAAAGTTTTTGAGAAGACTTGTAGCTCAGGTTGTAGATGAAATTGTTGATTTGTTCACCAAGCTGGTAGGTTGGTTTGCAGATGTTTCGTCACCATACTAGGTAACACCATCACTGCGCCTCTGATGAAGTGTTGTTGGTCTGTCCTGCTAGTTATTTATGTGATCCAGTTTTATGTGGTGGTTGGCCTCATTTCTGGTTCTGCTTTGTAGTGGTTGGTATATGGGGTCTCCATCCACATGTCTGTTGATGGAGCTCCAGGTTGAGTACCAGGTCTCTCTAGGAAATCCCATGCGTGTCTTTGGTTGGCTTGTCCTAGGATGGTTACATTGTCCCAGTAGAAATGGTGGCCTTCTTTGTCCGAGTGAATGGAAACAAGTGGTAGCTGGTCATGTCTCTTGGTAGCTAGTTGGTGCTCATGTACCCTGATAGCTAGTTTTCTCCCGGTCTGTCCGATGTAATGTTTCTGGCAGTCATTACATGGGATTTTATAGATAACATTGGTCCTGTTAGTTGTGGGTATGGGATCCTTTGTTCTTGTCAGAGGTTGTCGTAGTGTAGCTGTGGCTTTGTGTGTTACCACGTTTCCTAGTGGTCGGAGTATTCTGGTGGTCATCTCTGATGTTGATGTTCTTGATGTATGGCAGGGTGACTAGTGTACGCTACATCTTCCTGTTGTTGTCTGTTGAGTAAGTACCAGCGGACTACGCTTTTTGGGTAGCCATTATGTTTAAAGATGCTGTGGAGGTGTTCTTCGGCTTTGCGCAGTTCCGGATGCTGCAGTGTGTCATAGCTCTAACAGAATTCCGATGTTACAGTGTTACAGTGCTGCAATATTAGAAGGATACTCCAATGCAAAGCACATGGGGGCATCTTTGATTTCCCGACACTCAGTTTCTCAAGGCCAAATTGCTGACTCAATGCCAATTTCAGCAAAACCTCAAGGCATTTTTCTTAGTGGCACCAAGTTTATGTCTTCAACAAATTCTAGTTATATCTGCAATTTAGTTGGCATACAGTCCAATTCAGATGACTTTAAAAATTTTAAAACTAAAATTTAAACTTTATTTTTTTGGTATACAAGCTCATCTTGAAGCAGATCTACGAATGTGATTATAGACGTAGTATTGCTCCAAAGCATCCATTGCTCTCTATTCAATGAACATATAGTACAAGAGAAAAACTTGCTGTTTCAAGTTTAAGGACAGGAAAGAGGCATACCTCATCAGTGATCTGACCTCCAAAGGTAACCCATGTTCCTGTTGGAAAGGAAAAAGTTAAAGACTTTATTTTCTGTTTTCAGCTGCTAAGAAAGCTAAATGCTGTAACAAAACACAAGAAATGTTCAATACAGCTGGTAAATAAGGAAATTTAGTTATAGACTCAGCAGTTTACAATAACAAAAATCTATAAGCAAATGTCTTTCCTGTTCAGCATCCATTATTTTAAAGGCCACTGGACAGCTGAGAAAAATTATTTACTTCGCATTAACAAAAATATACCAATTTATCAGTACCTGTGGCACAAGCTAAATCAATAAAATAGCAATCAATATTAAACTATTTAAGGCTTAGTAGCGCAGCAAGCCATTAAACAATACAATGCTATTCTCTGATCTACCCTAAATTATTAAATATTAAATGGCACAGATAAAGCAAACTCACACAGATAAATCAAAAAACATCCAGAAAATAGAACAGATGTAGATAAAAGTAAATTGACAAAAATCATGTTGAGATAACTACTGGGGAAAATTTCTTTTGCAAAGAACATTAATTGGAATAATCTTATCCTCTATTACTTTTAAGATAAGTGTTGGAGTTATTAAAAATGCGTGATGGGACACTTAATTACATCGGGCAGATAGGTTTCAGTGAACCAAATGATTGCTTTTATAAAATAAAGAGCTGTTATAATATGACTTTTACAAATTACCTTACTTTATTTTTAGAATTTGTACAGTACAAGTAACACGAACTACAAGAGAGAAATGTATAACTAAGCAAATTAATTGTAATTAGCTTGTGTATGAGACCATTTTTATTTTTACCTAGGCCAAGGCAGGAGACCCTCAGTCCCGATTTTCCAAGATTTCTAATTGAAGATAAAGAGAAATAATAGAATTAGAATCATGTAACTCAAGAAAACAACGTTTTCTCAAAAATACCACGAAAAGACAACTGGAGTTTTCACCCAACTTCTTCCTTCAAGCTAGATCTTGTTACTGTACCATCTTAAGTCGGTTAGTCAATTATAAAAACAAATGCACTGACACTATTCATGTTAATTCTTGGGACACTGTATTACACACAGCACATCAAAGTTTTGAAAAATACACTGTTAGACATTTACATCATTTTTTAAAAAAACTTGACAATAAATCTGGAAGTACCTTCTATTGGTGAGATCACAACACAACTTATTCCCGATTTTATAATTTTATGACTTTGTGATTTATCCTCAGATTTAGTAGTAATGATTCCATCTACGTTTTGCCTACTCATTTTCTTAACAGGAGCACATTGAGCCTAATCAATTTTAATTTTTCAGCAGTAGACTGATTTCCAAGACTCTTTCAACTTATACGAAAAAGAGATGATTTTGTGAGGGTCTTTTTGTATATTGAGCAGCCCACTGAAAATATTGGCAAATCAAAAAAATTTAGCACAGCACACTTCTTGACAATAGGTCATGGGTTCTGATTTCAGAACATAGCATGTGGTTTGAATTAGGGCCAACTGCAACTCAACCCTTCTGTAAGACAGAAAGAGGCACAGATTCAAAATAATAAAAAAGAAAATTTCAGGACACTCATCAAGTGCCTGAGTAAAGGAATGGACTTCTTACATATTGAGAGTTCTTTATAGCAATATGTGGCCACATCGGTAATTGGTGGGCAGAAACCTGACAGGCACTCTTGAGAGCTGGATTGGATAGGATACTTATGATAATTTTGTAATCTTTTCTTCAAGATAACTAAGAGGAGTGCTGCGCTCTTATTAAAGGTCAAATGAGAACGCACCCAGCTCTACATTGCACCAACTCTAAAACCCTCCACTGTCTGATTTTGCCATGTTGTTTGTCAGATTCCAGTACTAGATGTACAGAAATTTTCTCTGGTTAAATGTTGCGAAGACTGCAGCTATTGTATTTAGTCCCTCTAGCAAACTACTCCGCATCCTAGCCACTGATTCATTTTTTACTTCATCCACAATCCACGGCTGAGCCAGGGAGTTCACAACCTTAGCTGTGAGCCTACAAATACAGACAAGAGCCTACAAACACATTTGTCCTCTCAAGACCACTCTCAACCAACCCCACAAGATCTCCCAACTCCATGTCACCTTAAGTTATTAGCTGCTGAAACACTCAGCAATGCTACAACCTCTGGCCTACATTATTCCAATGCTCTCCTGGTCACTCTTTAATCTTCTCCCTACATAGATCTAGAATGCAGTTAAAAAAAAATTTGCTGCCTGTATCCTAGTTTGCATCAATTCTTGTTCACCCAACACTCCTGTGCTTTGTTGACCTTAATTAGTTTAGGACATCTCAATCTTAAAATTGACAACCTTGTTTTCAAAATTCATTACGGCCTTGCCCTTCTGTACCTTAACTTCCCCAATTCCTACAAGCCTTTGAGATCTCTATCATCTTTTAGTTCAACAATTCTCAACCTAGAGTCTATGAGGGTATTTCAGGGATTCTGTGAAATGAACAATGGCCAGAGATGTGTCATGAAGATTGACGAAGGTTCTGTTAGTCATTAGCAGCCTGTTCACAGGCTAGGGTCAGTGCTGACAACCATGAGCAAACCAGTGATAGCATACTGCCCCTGAAGTCCATCCTCACCTACAATAGTGACCACACTTGTACAGAAAAATTTCAAATGCCTATGAACATGCTGCTAATGACTAAAATGATCCTCATTCAATCACTGTACAATACTACGTCAATAAACTACTGAAAAATTAGGAATTTACACCTGAAGTTTCTCTTTATAAAACCTAAATTGTTCACATGAGCAGCAGAAAAATAAAAACACAAGATTTAGCTACAGCAGCTGAAGCATTAGGAAAATATCTGCTTTGAAATATGAACTATCTAAAGACAGCCAGGTTCTTTGGACTGGTCAGGAGTTACACTACAAATGGAGAATTTAACTTGGCATCTTTCACTTGGGTTCTGTAAGAGACCACATCTTTTTATTTTAGGTTTGGACTACGGACTGAAATTTTTAAAAAAATGATACTGCTTTAGAAGAGGAGATGCTGTTTGCAGCTTTTGGAAAAACAAATAAAACCAGCAAATGTTTTAGGAACAATATCCCAAGACAAGGCATGACACCAGTTTGTTCTGGAAAACTTTGCACAAACAGCCTTTTAATTGGTGTCAATTGTAAAAGCCAGTGTTTGTGGGTCAAACAGTACTCAGCAGAGCAGTAATCTTCTGATTGCACCAGTTCAATACACACATTGAGGGGGAATGAAAACAGAAGAGCAGTTTGCAGGATTAACACCTCTTTCTCTGTTCCTTTGCACTGAAAATTATCTTCTCCAACTCCATCAAAAGTGTAACAAAAACTACAGAGTTGCTGAAAGGAAGAATACTAAAGGTCACTGAGCAAAAAAAGACCTAGGGTCCAACCAAATAACCAATAAACTAAATAAAAACGAAAGAACTGCGGATGTTGTAAATCGGGAACAAAAACAAAGTCGCGGAACAAAAACAAAGTCGCTGGAAAAGCTCAGCAGGTCTGGCAGCATCTGGGAAGGAATAAACAGAGTTAACATTTCTGGAAAAGCTCAGACCAGTTCTGAGGAAGGGTCACTGGACCCGAAACGTCAACTCTGTTTATTCCTTCCCAGATGCTGCCAGACCTGCTGAGCTTTTCCAGCAACTTTGTTTTTGAACCAGTAAACTAAAGATTGATCATTACTGTGCAAATAACTCATGAAATCAACTCATCTAGTTTTATTATTTTGGTCTGGTGATGCAGAACTGTGAATCTCTAACTACATTTTTTCCCGTCCACTCTATTTGTGATTTTGATTTTTCTGTGTGTTGTGGTTGGGGGATTTTACAAAGGGTAAAGTTTATGTTACATATATTAGAAATTCTTTACTATTCTTGTTAAAATTGAGAGTATTATGATAGACATTTTTTTTTAAAATTGTCACTGGTTTGCTTTTATCCTGGGTAGCAGTAAGTCAGATGTATCACGGGATTTGTGGTTGTTTTGTTGAATTTTAATATTTGTCAAAATTTTTGGAATACTAAGGGCCGATTTCCAGTGTTATACCCTAGTGATTCATGACAGTATTTTGGTGTGAAGTCAGCTGTTCATCTGTAAACGACAGTTAGCCTTCCAGAGGATCTTGCAGTACTGTACCAAGTAGCTTCATGAATTATGGCAATATTAGTCCAGTCTGGAAATGGAGATTGAATTGTGTGCATCATTGTCACCTGTACCACCAAGACCGGACAGATGCTCTTATAAGAAGCAGGCATATCCATCTCATTGACCTTGTATAAATGCTCTTTATCTATGGTACCTATATGAGTATTCCACAGTTAAATAGTTTAGATGGTTGGATCAATGATTATTAACTCATTTGAAAAACGATCCTTCAACAAAAACATTTTCTTATTCTATCCTCTCGAACATCCCCAGTTTTTAAAGCTTCACTACTGCTTGTCATATGTACTGGAACTCCCTTCCTGAACATCTCCACCTCTCTTCCTTTCCTCCTTTAAGACTCCCTTAAAACCCACCTTGTTGCTCAAGGTTTTAATAATATATAGCAATATCTTCTTATTTCAATTGATGTCAAATACCATTTGATAATGCTCCTGTGAACTGCCTTGGGATGCTTTTAATACATTAGAAGGTGCTATATTAATGCAAGTTTTTGTTACTGTGAAGTGTGATTAATGATGCAACACTAAATTTTGGAAAAAAAAATGACCAAGTAGTCATTAAAGTAACCATATTAATTGGGTTTGAGGGGTAATCAGATAAATTACTAGAAAAAGAACTGAGGGATATATTGAGAATGTGTAAATAAAGCTGACGTGCAGAAAAAATGGTCAGGCATTTTGAAGTTTTAATAGCTTATCCCAGTTCCTAAAAAGATTTTTGTTTGCTGTTTAAATGGTGTTTAGCCATTGTTTACACACCACTGCGGAGGTTTATATTTGCACAGTCATAGCTTAGTATGATAGAGGTTTCCAGTCAAATTTGATATGAGAATGTATTGTATTGTATCACATGTTATAGAACAACTCCTAAACTGCACTTTGAGTATTGCATACTCAAACCAAGTTTGTGGAGGTGAACACAGAAGGAACATTAACAAACTAATCTGGCCAGAGCACAAAATAATATAAACGAGCACAAAGCTGATACTTAGAAATAAACCTGAATAAATAAAAGGACATATGCAGCACTTGGAATTCTAGAAACCACCAAAGGCTTCAAATAAATAACCAGAACCACCAAATATTCAAGTTACTAAGTTAATACAAAAACATCCTGATTTCTGTTCTCATTAAACCCTTTGGGGGGTGCGATCAGCATAATCTGACATTACAGTGCTCAACCACCTCACCAAATCATATTTATAAAACCAAGTTTGAAAACGTGGAAACCACCACTGTAGTAACAAAGATATCATCATAGGCAATAAGAAATCCCGTGAAATCGATCAATTCAGATTTCAGAGGGTTTTCAAAACTTTGTTGTAATTGTAGTAATTTTCTATGTTCAAAAAATAAAACTCACTACCAATTTACAATATTATCATATTCTACCTACATTACTAGCCCAACTCAGTTGTGACTATCTCAATATGGTGTGAATGGTTGGCATGCCAGCTCAGAGGAGCACCTCAGAGTCTGATATGTTGTCCTGCCATTTGATCTTCAGGAGCTTCCAGAGGAATGTGAAACTGGTTGAGACTCTTGGTATCACACTGGTAAGAGTCCAAGTCTTGCATTCATAGAGCAGAGGATTTTTTTATTCACTTGTGAGACATGGGCGTTGCTGGCTAGGCCAGCATTTATTGCTGTCCTCAATTGACCATGAGAAGGTG